TTAAAAACTGTGCTGACCCAAGGCTGATGTGAACTGGAAGTTTTACATCTAATGTCTTTCTAGAATTAAAATCAGTGGTCACGCAGAACTATTATTTGAAAAAATATTTTTTTAAACCGTAACTTAATAAAACCTTAATTAGTCCAGCAAGAAACACTCAATGTTGCTCCTTCACTATTATGAGGTATATTACCAGCTGCTTTTATGCAAGCTATATTAGTAATGGTTTCTTTGTTACCACTTGTTTGACTCTGAATGTATTTTGATCCCTTTCCTTGCAACAACACATTTTGGTTTATAATCTAGTTGTAACCTTGTTTCATCCATGTTCCAAATACATTTGATTTGTTAAATAGGTTCTTATTTTGAAAATTTCCCCCTGTCTATAAACATTTGTGGTAAAGAATATTTTGGTTCTGGACAACGAAGACTTACACAACCATGTCTTTTAAGTAGTTGCTACCAGTTTTTAAGATTTTTAAAATTCAATCTGTTTTTTTTTTTTTTTTTTGCCAGCTTAGCAGCATAATCAATAAATGTTATTTTCAAAAACCAATTCCCATTTGGGCTTATATGCCAGCAAAATATTTTTTTTAAGATCACCTTTAATTGGCTTTTTTCCTGGTTATGATCTTATTTTAGATTTTCTATAGATAGTAGCCTGCATAGTTGACCATGGAACTTTTTTATACTTGCTTTTTAGTGAGACATATCATTTATTACCAGTTTCATATTAGAATCTGAATTGTCTTCAGCATGCATTTTTTAAATTATACTTGAAGTTGGTTTAATGATAACATTTGACTTTTGGATTTTTCAGTATGCTTTAACTTTTTTGTTTTTCATATTTAATACTATTTTCAACTAAAAAAAATAATTATAGAAACAAGTTTAAAAACTCATGTAAATAAAATAAATCAAAAAATATATATTGATTACTTTTTTTTTTTACATTTAATGCAACATTCAAACTTTCATTCAGTATGTAATCAAGTTAATTTAAGTAAAATTTGGATGTTGCTTACCTGTTAACAACCTTAATTTAACTTTTTTCACAATTGTCATGTGTCAAGATTTTATCACACTTAGTTATTTATTATATCACATGAATTATAACTAAGTTGAGAAAATCTTGTTTTAAATTTTTAGAAAAAATATTTTGATTAAATACTTTAATTACAATAGTTGTCTTATCATTACTATTTATTAGCTATAGCCAGTAAGTGGATTATGTAACCGTCCAGTAAATGGTATATCAGGAAAGGTTTAGTTTAGATCGGTTAAAATATTTGAGTTAATGTGAGGTTTGGTTTCAAAACATGGCGAATTACACTTATTACGTTTACGACGCTTACGAACATCTGTAAACAACTACTTTATAAAGCTTTTCACATAATTTAAAAATAAAACTTTCGCATGATTAGTATAAATTAAGTGCGGACTTTGATCGTATTCTGAGTGATACTTTCTTGCTTTCTTTTTAAATATTTTGCTAAAAATATATTTTTGGTATCAAAAAATATATTATATTAAATATAAGATAATATTTGGAATCAAATATATTATTAGAGTATATATTTGATATCAAATATATAATAATAATAATATATATATATATATATATATATATATATATATATATATATATATATATATATATATATATATATATATATATATATATATATATATATATATATATGTATGTATATATATATATATATATATATATATATATATATATATATATATATATATATATATATATATATATATATATATATATATATATATATATATATGTATATATATATATATACATATATATATATATATAATATATATATATATATATATATATATATATATATATATATATATATATATATATATATATATATATATATAATTATATATTATATTTGAGTTTTTGTTTTGTTTTAATAGAAGTTGTAAAGTATCAATGCAATTTAATTTTGATAACTATTATTTAATAACAATATAAAATTAATATGATAACGTTAGTCTATTTATTTAGTATTCAGGAAACTGTTGATACCAAAAAATAAATACATATAAACCAAATATATGTTGGTTTTTAAATATTTGTATATATAAAATAGTATATATAAATAGTTTAAAAGTAATATTTATATACTATTGATGAATCAAGTATACTTGATTCTATGAGCATTTAAAGGTGTTAAATGATTTGCATGTTGTGCAGATTTACTTGTAAATCTGAACAACATGCCAATCATTTAACACCTTTAGCCCAGCTAAGATAATTTTTTTTAAAAGCATTTACGTTTCATAATATATTGTAAAACAAAAATATATTTACTACATATTAATATTTAGTAAATATAATTTTTTCAGTTTACCCAGTTTCAGATTTCAATGATTTAAAAAGTATGACCCACCTTTGCTTTATAAATCAGGAGTTTAACTTTTTCAATATGAGTAATCCCTCGAGATAAAAAAAAAATTATTAAACAAATTTCTCATAACTTTCATAATTTATTATTCACATATAGTGGCACCATAAAAAAAAATTACAAAATGTTGAAAGTTTAATTTACCCCATTGTGTATTTAGCTATAATTTTTTTCATTTAGAAATTTAGATCTAAAGTGTCGTAATTTCATAGTTTATTTATTTGGAATGCATCATTTTTATTCAAAACGTACAAAAAACCGAAAGATAGCTGCTGTGGTTGCAAAAATATTGAGTAGTGCATGTGTGAATACACCTAACTTGCATGTATCAACCTCACATATTTCTCAAGCGAATAATGATTATTTGCCAATAAATATGGTAAAAATGTCAAGTTCAACTGATCTAATTAGTTTACCAATATCTGATGTGACAAGTTCTAATGATAACCTCAATAGTCAGCTTGATGATTTATATAATAATGAAAAATATAATGACTTCCCAGAATGTGCTTCTCGAATTAACTATGACAGTGATGATGATGACAGTGATGGGGAGAATAATAATTTTACTGAACTCAGTGAAAGTGAAACTTTAAAGGATAAGTTAGTATCTTGGGCAGTAAAATTTAACATTTCCCAGACAGCATGTAGCAATTTGCTTGGTTTTTTGAACAAGCTACATCCTGATTTGCCAAAAGATGCAAGATCGCTGCTTAGTACTGCTAGAAATAATTACATTCAAGATGTTGCTGGTGGGAAATATTTCTATTTTAGCCTAGAGTATTGGCTTTCTATTTTTACTGAAAAGTATCCTCTCAACAGTGATATAAATGAATTAGATTTGCATATTAATATAGACGGTTTGCCAATTTTTAAAAGCTCAACAAATAGTTTGTGGCCTATACTTTGCTTGGTTAAAAATTCTGGATGGTGTCCATTTCCAATTGCGCTATATTTTAGTAAAAGCAAACCAACTTCTCTTGATGATTATATGGAAGATTTTGCTTCAGAAATGATTATACTAGAGAAGACAGGGTTTAGAAAAAATGACAAATGTTACTTTATCAAATTAAAAGCAGTTATTTGTGATGCACCAGCACGAGCTTTTATAAAGTGCATCAAACCTCACAACGCTTATAATTTCTGTGAAAGGTGTGTAGGTGGAGAATGGCTCGGAAAAGTTGTTATGCCTAATCTATTTGCTGTTTTGAGAACTGACAGTGATTTCCGAAATATAAAAGACCCTGATCATCATAGTATCTCGTTCATATCTCCTCTTTTACGTTTAAATATGGGCTTGGTTAGTGGATTTCCTCTAGATTATATGCATCTAGTGTGTTTAGGAGTTGGACGAAGACTTATAAATCAATGGATACACGGCTTGTCTGTTCATAGGTTATCAAGGGTAGCAATAGATTTGATATCGGATAAACTTGTTGCAGTTAAATTGTATACTCCTCGAGAATTTGCACGAAAGCCTAGATCACTCTCTGAATATAAACATTGGAAGGCTACTGAACTTAGGCAATTTTTTTTATATTCTGGTGTGGTTGTTTTAAAAGGCATTTTGCCTAAAGAATTGTATATTAATTTTCTGTGTCTGTCAGTAGCTATTAGAATACTTATCAGTCCATCTTTATGTAACATCTATTTAAAATATTCAGAACAACTGTTAAAGTATTTTGTGTCAAGTTTTTGCATGTTTATGGGAATGACCAGTGTGTGTATAATGTCCATTCACTGATACACTTGCCAGATGATGTTTGGAGATTTGGAGCACTAGACAACGAATTTTCGTTTCATTTTGAAAGTTATTTAGGAAGACTTAAGAAGTTAATCCGTAGTCCACAGTCCCCTGTTACACAAATTGTATGTAGATTATCAGAGTGTAACTTACAATACTCTGAAACAAATGTTGCTGATTCCACTTCTAAATTTAAAAAAAAACATTTCCATGGTCCAGTTCCATTGCCATTGCGTCACCTCTCACAATTTAAACAATATTTTGGTTCTCATTTTTTACAGATCCACTTGGCTCATCTTTACTGTCTATTTTCTATGTCGAAAAAATTTCAAACCTTGTAAAGATTTATTTGTTGAGAAAATTAAGAACTAAATATTTTCTGTTGCCACATAAAAATGGGTTTGTTGTAATCCCTCAGATGCACTTTTCCTAAAGTTAATATATTTGATGAAATCTTGGTCTACAATAACAAATGTCTTATGTATTAATTTAAACAGTTTTACATTTATATAGTATTTAATAATAATCATGTTCTATTTGCTGTTACTACATTTGCAATTGCATATTTTATTTTATTGTTTTTGTGAATAACGTGCTTCTCTTTTTCTATTTTCAAGTTATCTGCTTCTTTTTTCTTTTTTTTTTGAAATAGTTAAATTTTTTTTAAAAAAATTTTATTTGAAAGTATTTATTACTAAAAAGTTTACTTTTAAAAACTATTATTATAAAATTAGTATTAAATAAAAAATACATAGTTACTATATCATAGTATAATAAAAAGTTTTAAAACATTTCTTATGTCATAATTTATAAAACATTTATTTAGTATTTAAATATGTTAGCAATTGTTGCTTTTGAAAATACTTGCGAAACAGATTATGTTCCGTTGAAATGGCTTGAGGGAGTGGATGCTAATAATATCCAGTTAATGATTACAAATCATACATCAGTAAAATGCCATTGGCCACCATTCAAAAATCCAAACACTGTCTCTAAAGCAAAAAATAACAGCCATGATGCAGAGATAAATTGGCCGATATATAAGGCAAGAGTGCTGGGATTAGCTGGTAAATTTATTTTGCATATTATTTATTTTTTAAATTTATGTGACTTTTTTTTTACCCGTTTTTATTTGGATACAAATATTTAGACTGTTTGAACAATGCTCGTCAAAAAGTAAAAATGGCAGAAAACACATCCAATTTAGAAAATGTATTTGAAGAGAGAATAGAAAAAATTCCAGGACTTTTCAGGAAAAACAAAAGAAGACGGTAGGCATTTAATGAGGTTTTTGTTTCGTAAAAATTTTACTTCGTAATTTTACTTAAATAATTAAATTTATTATTTTAAAATTTCAATAAGTCTTTTATTATTATTTATTTTCAAACATATTTACTACCAACAAGGCTGCAACAACCACGAGTTGGAAGTTACTGAAAGTGGAAAGACTAGGGTTAGAGCAAGATAACGATTAATAGGCGACTTAAAAGATTGCAAACTATATGAATCAGGAAAAAAAGAGGAAGGGATCAAATTTCAAAGAACTGTTTGAGGGGGAAAACTAGTGGAAAAAGAAATTTTTGAGCACTTAGGAACAGTCACAGTGAAATGATGAGACTTAATTAAATGACGCGTAACACAATAATGAATTTTAGTAGTTAGAACAAGAAAAACTAGCTCTTGAAGTTGAATTAGAAAATTGAAGATAGCAAACTCTAATTCAAAAATATCTTCTTTAGTTGTGGGTAAAATGGAAGGAACTCATAAATCATGTATGGTAATAAATTTAGTAGTATCATAACACATATTCTCCTGATCTGGAGAGCAGGGTAATGCCAAGAAGGGCGTCCAGTTGCAAATTTACTTTGACTCCATTTCATATTTAAATAAAGAATGGTTTGTAAATGGTCCATGGCAGACACAGCTAATGACCTTCTATTTATATTTATAACTGTATTTATATTATCAAGTATGAATCTAGTAGTCAAATATGTATTATGTAAATATTATATTATGTATTATAGTCAAATATGTATGTATATTTTACTATAATATTTATATAATGATATTATAATATTTGTTTATTTAAATATGTAGACAATTATCTTACAAATACAATACAAATGCACACAATATTATAATTATATACACATTAAATAATTATGTGTTGAAGTTAATAATATATTAAAGATGCGCTTAAGTTTTTTTTTTTTTGAAGTCTTTATTTAATTTATAACACATACAATACAGCTAAGTACTAATATTAAAAAAATATATATATATTAGTACTTAGCTGTATTGTATGTGTTATAAATTAAATAAATAAATTATCAAGTACTCCAAGAAATGTCATTAAAACAATTTTTGAAGTCTTATTTTTTTGTCATTTTTATATTGATTATTTTAGAGTGACAAAGATTTGTTACGAGAGAGAAACAGAAAACGAGGAATCTGAAAATGATCAATTGTATAGTGTAGAACCAAAGTAATTTTTTTTTACAAAATTTCTTTATTTAAATTTTATAGAAATTTATGTTTATATTTATTTTACCTTTGGACATATTCAAGATTATTTTATATTTTAAAAGAAAGAAGATGTTGGTAAATTCTGCTCTTGTTCAAAAGCCACAGCAACCCTGCAAGCTCCCATCAAACAACAAATCCAGAGTTGGCGATCAGTTGCAACAGTGAGTTTCATTATTTGTGTACACGCCACCAGGATTTATTTATATAAACATGGTGGCCACAGTCCTGGAATGTCCTGGATTTTTATAAGTGTCCTGGAATGTCCTGAATGTATTTTATAAGTGTCCTGGAAAATTTTTTTTCAAAAATGTCCTGCAATGTCCTTGAAAGTTTTTTTTTACCAAATAAAATTAAAAAATGAAATAATATTCAAGTAAAATTAAATATTTTTACACTATAAAAAAATTAATTTTTAATGTTTTTGAATAAATTTTTAACAAGATAGAATTATCTGCTATTTAGTATGTATTATTTAATTTTGGTTGACTTTGAAAATATATTATTCAATTTAGTTAACAGCCAAATTATTTCTAACTTGTAGCAACACTAATATTAGCATAATGCAGGGCAGCCACAGATCAAGGAAATGTAATTGCAAAAGTCAACGGTTTTATAAATTTTCTGGGAAAGTTATGGAAAGTTCATAGAACTTTTTAAAATAATAATTATTTTATTTTGCAAATGATATTAACCAAATAATGGAAATCAACAAGCTTTATTGTTCTTACATGTCTGATGCCATACATCAAATCACTCTGGACACATGTGTTGTATATATTTCATTTGTTCTTTAATTCTTGCTTTAAGATAATTTTCTGAAACATGGCGCAGGCACAGTACTAAAGCACCAAACCCTGATGCACCCAATCGTAACTTCAAAACTATTATTCTTTTTATATTTTGTTTTCACCTTTATTTTTACCTTATATCTTTTTTTTTATCTTTGTTTTTGTCTTATATCTTACACCTTTCATCAAACCAACACTTACCAGTTTCTTTAAAGGGTAATCAACTGGTGTTAGAACCAACCTGGTTTCAGTAACATACTTGCCACTGACCAATTATAAACTTTTGACCAGTACCTCCCTTTAGGCTAACTATTTACCATCAGACACACTTATTGTTAAACTGGTAAAAGTTATGACAATATTTGTTTAATATCATATAAAATGTCCTGGAAAATGCAACAAAAAGTCCTGGAATGTCCTGGAATTTAACTTTTAAAATTTTGTGGCTGCTATGTATATAGTTTACTATAATGTTTGGAAAAATTTTTAATAATATTTTTTATAAAATTTTATAAATATTTATTTTTTAATTAAATAATTTTCATTAAAAAAGTTATGAAAAACTGCATGCTTGGAGTCGTGCATGTTACACTGTAAAATAAACTTATATATTCAATTGTCAAAATGATTACTGATTTTTTAGCCTGTGTTGAAAAAAATTATCAAGTGTATGTTAATTAAATAAAAAAGTGATATGCTGGTAACTAGAAAAAATATATGTGTAATTAGCTTTTATTACTATTTCGATTAGCAATGAAAATTCCAATGACTTCAACATATGGAATAGTAAAGAATTTTCACCTCCTATTGTTTCAACTGCTGAAAGGGCAACATCGCTGTCAATGTTAAGTTCTTCTACTGCAGGTAATTCTCTATAGTAAAAATTTAACTGTTTAGTTAAATATTGTTGTATTTTAATGTAATTTTTTTATATCAGTATTTGTCCTGTATTTATAATTTTTTTTAATATGAGCCATTTCTTGAATGGGCTATTTACAAATCTTTTAAAAATTATTAATAAATATATCTTTTTGCTTTGAGTTATTTATTGTTAAACCCAGGGTTTCCACAGTCCTGGAAATTTTTTGTCAAATATCCAGGAAAAATTAAAAAATTGTCCAGGAATTTTCCTGGAATGTCTTGGAATTTTGATATATTTTTTCTGTGGCATCCCTGTAAACCTACAAATTACAAATCTTTAGCTGAGTTATTACGTGGTTAAAGGTTGTAATCACTTTTTTTATTTAGGCTCCAGTTTAAGTCAAACTGCTAACCTGCAAACAGTATTTAATTTAATAGCAACTTTGGTTAGCAATGTTGAGGAAATTAAAAAAACTCTAAAGGTGCATACATCACTATTACATTCTATTAAGCGAAAAGTGTTAGTTACTGAAGAATTATTATTTGATTTACCTGAAGATATAAAGTTGCCACTGACGTCTATAGCAGAAGTAGAAACATTAGAGGAAAAGTTGTTTTGCGTAGAAAAAAAAAAAACTCTTGTAAGTTCAAAATTATTTATAAATGCAATTCGATATTTACAAATATTAAACTCAAATTTAGAAAGGAATAATTGCGTAAAATAATTTAGGTATAAAACTGGATGCCATGATATCATTATAAAAGCTATGGGGGGGGGGGGGGTTGAAATCTGATGGTGGAGTAATCATATCATTTAAAAGATAATAATTTTGCTTCCTGAGTCTCAATACTTACTACACGATGTTAAATTGTTAAAACTTTTTAAACTTTACTTAAATTGCATATATTTAATATTATATTAAACTTTTTCGATTAGGTGGTTGCTGTGTTTGAGTGAGGGTGACTTGTTTAAAGGAAATGTTTTAAACCTGACTTTACATGATTAAGAATGACGATTATGTCTTTTCATTGCATGTCATTTTTTTAGGCAAAACATATATCAGACATTGGTGGTGAGGATCTACAAAATTTTGTCATGAGAGCGATGCCAGTTTTACTAGATGGTCAGCTTGCTCGTCAATTCAATTTGACAGGGCAGAAGGGAAAAAAATCGTTTAAAGCACTATTGCTTTGTCAAGTTTTTTTGAGTAAGAATTTTTTTACTTTAGTAATTTTACTAAAGTAAGTTTTTTTTAATACAGTGTAGTTTTATTGCAATTATAGGCGCTGTGAAACTAAACCTAAATACTAATCAATGCAATAATAAAGATATTAAAATAGAGTTATCAAAATAGTTTTCAAACGCAAGAGATCGTGGTACTGACGGTCGCCGATATTTAAATACGAAAGCTACAACGACGGCTCCCAGTTCAGATTAATGGACAAAAAAAAATATTTAACGTCTTTCAAGAATTGTTTTGTTTACTCAATTTTTTAAATAAAGAACAAAATTCACCAAAATCGGTAGTTTTTTATGTAAAAATTCCTTTTTTTATTAAGTCTTTCAAATATCCTGCTAAATTGCGTTATTAACATTTTTAATATAAGCAATTTACTTACATCCGTTTGTAGAGAAAAATAAACCAGAAAACTTACGGGACCGTCGTGGGCATCCCTGTGAAATATCATATATGGGACCCTAATGGGCATCCCAGAACGCAAACGTGTATAATACCAGATAGCCTATATGGAAACTATAAGGGCAAAAATGTCATGCTTCTTTTAGACGGTGAGCCGGTCATGGTACACTAAAAATAATGAACTATTCAAATATCTTATTTTAAATTTTAGTTTAAATCCAGTTTGATAGGCAAAAAGATTTAGAGATCAAGAAATAGTAAACGTTAGCTCATTCACACATCGAATAGATATTGGAAAAATAATGGTTGAGCAGATCGAGTAATTTAACATGTGAAATAATCAGGTGTTAATATAAACAGTATTGATAATTTATCTAAAATTTCTGTCCGAGCTGCTGTTAATTTTTTTTATATTTCTACTTATCAACTCTTACAGTATTGTAAAATTGGTAGATATGATCATGTGTACAATGAGTACAAAATTTAATTTTTTACTGCCTGCTTATATCAAAAACAGTCTTCAACCTCTCTATGTAAGAAAATTTATGCCTTTTAAATTTACTTACAAAAAAACAACTAAGAGTTTAATATCTAATCGTCCCGGAGTTAAAACAAAAAAAGTCACTATTACAAGACTTTTAAGCAAGGTCTGACAAAGTTCAATATTGGTATGATAAAGTTTAATAATAAATCTGGCTGTAAATCATAAAGAACAATTTCGTATAATGCGTGATTATTTGTTAATCTGTCTGAATTTTAATGGCCAATCTATTGTTTTGTTGACTAGTTAGTCAAATCCTCTTTAATCAAATAAAATTAATTAATAATAAAACAATAGATTAACATAGACAACACAAAATATTTTTTTATAAGATATCGAGCTGCAACCAATTTAGTTTGAACTGATACCTTCAAATATAATTTTTAATCTATGATCTTCTAATAGTTGATGATATCTATTCAGCTAAGCCAATATTTAGTTAAACTAATGATAATAAATTAAATTCCAGAGCGTGGCAAGGATGGGCAAGATGTAAAGTCTGGAATACTTTCATTTATCAAACGCAGATCTACTTTTTGCCAAATGGAAAAAAAAACTTGTCAACAAACTTATTATTATTGTATGTTTGGTTGCAGCTTTTATGGTACTTTAAACGTTAAATCATATCAAAATTTATCTTATCCATGAGATAGAGGTAATGGTATTTTGCTGGATGAAGATGCAGATTTTGAAAAAAGTAAAAAGAAAGATTAGTTTTTTTATTTACTTTTCGAAGGCATATGCATTAAAAGTAAAGAAATTGTGTCATTTGCCAACAACATGTACAAAACTTTTTGATACTACTCATTGCCATGGCGGTTTAGGAAACCTCCTGAAATATTTTAATAAGTTCATTAATTGCCTGTAAAGGCATCAACTGACTGCAAGTTAATATTTTTTAAAATGCAATGAAAAAAATAAGGTAATCATTTTCTTGTAATATTTATATTTATGCTATAAATGCTGATAAAAAAAATAACTACTGTTAACAATTTTTTATAACTTGTTTAGCTGCCAATCGACTTTTTTTGTAGAGTTTATAAAAATAATTTATTCATTTCTTAACAAACCACTTAAATTGCAACAACTTTATGGTAACCAATAAATGTATTTGTAAAGGGTTGTTAAAGTTTTATCGTTCAAAGAACGTATAGTTGTCATAAATTATTTGTTTACAAGTTTTTAGAAACAAAATTGTTAAGTTGCAACTGGAATTTGGTCAATTTTATCTTGATTTTTTTTACCGATATTCTTCTTCATTTTATTTTAAAATAATCCTTAATTAACTTAAATAATTCATTACTGTGGAACACCAGTGAGTATATTAACGTCAAAAAAACAATTAAAAATTACTTTTATGTATCAAAAATCGCTAAAATGGCTCCACACTTTTAACTTTGATTCAATAAGTTTTTTTTTAAAATGAAAGCTGAATAATTTCCAGATTTCACATAGATTTTGACCTCGCTAAAGTGAATTATTATTGAATCGGTCGACTGGACCGGCCTGCCCCTATGATCAGTGTGCCCCGGTGTACTTTTATAATAAATAATTGATATTTATTAATTACCTAAAACCTATGTCTTTCTTTTTTCTAATAGGGTAAGGTAAGGGTAAGGGGTGAATTCGTCACGGAGCGAATCCGTCACTTATGCGACTCAGCTTTAAAATAATAATGCATAAAAACTAAGAAATCTATTAACTAGGTTTTTTCGAAACTTTTTCAACTGATATTTGTAGAATATTACTAAATAAATGTTTTATATATTTACCTCCAATTATTCTTTAAATATTGCAAATAAACATTGAAGTTGAAAAAATATTTTTATGCTTAAATACCTATTGTCAAAAAATTATCAAAATACGCAATGTTTTGACCACAAAGTATATATTTTTTGATTGATTGATGTCAGTAGTTTTTAAATAATAATTTAAGTTACTATGTTTTTGCCTTTGGAATCGTCACGTAATGATTGTTAGCACATGCTCAAATGAGGGGCAACTTCGTCGATGAAGAAAAGTTAATACGAAAAATAAATTAGGTTGTTTCATCATGCAAATTTTTAAACTACCGAGCGCCGTTTGAAAGAAAAACAAATTGTGATCAAAATGCGCTCCAAAGCTTTTTAGACATTTATAAGAGAAAGGCCCTTCAGAATATATTAATTTACAGTTAGCTTTTAAAACTTTTTGAAGTTTTAATTATAAACACGACTTTGATGTGAAACATGTAAACAAACTTATTATAATGTATAGTCTGAAATATATATACAGTAAATAATAAGTATATAAAACATATATGTTATATATTTTTAGGCTATCCACTGCCTATTTTTATACTAGGTACGCGGAAATCGCGATTTACGGAACCGATTTTTATGCTAAAATATTGGTTCTCGATTTTTTAACTCTTTTTTAGGCAGCATGAGGCAGATGTAATTTTATAAAGTTTCTTTTTAGAAACATATATGCACATAGATACTTTTTTGAAAGAAGAAAAGTTAATCTTGATTTATATATGACATTTATGTATGGTTACTTAACATTTTTGTGGATTATTTTGCTCCTAAAAATTTGGTTGATGTTCTCACATGAGTGTTTAGTAGTGGAAATGTTGATCCCCCTTTTTTTATTATTTAGATAATTTTCTACATGCATTTTCTATGCACATGCTAAATTTCAACTAAAAATAAAGCTCCGCAGATAGTTTAATTAGTGTTATACTAAGTATACTACTTTTTTTAGGTAGTCCTAGGCAAACGTTTTTTTGTGGTGATTCTTATCAGAAACATATACAAACCTATATTATTTTTAAAAGACGAAAGGTTAAGTTTGATATTTTATGAATAATATGTTTGGTTAGTATACTTTTTTATGGATTATTTTGCCAAAAACTTTGCATAAAAATTTGCTTGATGTTCTCACCTGAATTCGTAGTCGAAGAAATGTTGATCCCCCTTTTTTTATTATTTAGATAATTTTCTACATGCATTTTCTATGCACATGCCAAATTTCAACAAAAAATAAAGCTCCGCAGATAGTTTAATTAGTGTAGAACTTTTGGTACCTAATTTTGGCTTTTCTGTTGTTTGTTTGTTGTTGTTTTTTTCGTTAAGCGAAATACGGGGGCGGATAGGGGGGCCGACTCTACAGAAAAATATTAATTCTAATATTGTATTATTTTGATTTTTATTATTAGATTAAAATAAAAAATGAACACTGCAGACAGAACTTTACTTGACTCTCTAACAGGTAGTAAGTTTTTTTATAACATCAAAAATAACAGGTAGTAATTTTTTTATAACATCAATAATAACTATTTTAAATCAAAAAATATTCATAAATCATTTATGAATATTTTTTGATTTAAAATTCTTTTTTATGTAACATATAAAAACAGATTAATTCCTAATCTGTTTTTATATGTTTCATAAAAAAGAAGATTAATGTTTCAGTTTAAAACTTTTGCTTTTGAATTGATTGTTAACTAATAGTATCATTTGACAATTTTATAAAGACACAACATATAAATAAGTTTAAAAATCAGATACTTCATTGGTTTATTCCTTGCAAAAGACTTATTAGTATTTTTCAAACATGATAAAACTTATTAACTTATTATCATCTTTTATTATTTTTGGATTGTATACTTCTTTATCTGTGGATTAATATTTAAATCACAATACAAGCATGCCTAACGTTGACTTGTTGTTTAGATCCGGCTAGACATGGAGAGTTTTTGAGATTCCATAAGTATAAATCACGTATTTCATATATAACCACAACCAATATAATGTAATTAATCTATAAACAAAGTGAATAACCCATTCTTATTGTTAGTTTGTTGTTTATTAATATATTTTCTTTATATTTTCATTGTTAGTTTTCATTATGTTAATAAAGTTTCATTATGTTAATAAAGTTGTTGCATTTTCCACAGAACTTACTTACAGGTAGTTGCTTTCATAATTTCATAGGGTTTTGTTGTTATTTTTAGTTCGATCTACCCAGTCTATCACTGGTAAGTTTGTGTAGGATAACTTGAATATTAAATATAAGCATGTATATCTTGGGTTACCTTAAATTATTTTTGATCTTCGCTCCTTTTATCAGTTGCTATGGTTAGTTATTTTAAAAGCTAGTACTTTTTAATCTGTAAATAGGTTTAATACCAATTTCAAAGTCGTCAATTGCAATATTTATTTTTTACTACTTTTTTTTTACCTCTAGCAACATCTTCATCTACAATGAATGGTAAGTTTAACAATTGTTTCTTTTTAATGTTTGCATTTCTTGACAAGTGCAAATATATATTTTTTAAACTTTTAAGCTCTAGTTCCATCCTCAACTGCATTGGTTGGTAAGTTTAAAAATATTTTTATTGCATCCTTCAAAAAACCTGTTCATATATGTATGTATTTCAGAGCAATTGCAATATTTATTTTTTATTACACTTTTTATAACTTAGTTATAAAATTTATATCTGCTATAATTGGTATGTTTACAAACTTTTACTTTTCAATATAATAATACATTTCTTGGCATTTCTTCACAATATTTATTTTTATTTCAACTTTGTTAACCTTTAGTTTCATCTTCAGCTGCTACAAGTGGTAAGTTTATAAACTATAATTTTTTAATATGTGTATGCATAATATGTGTAAAAGTATTGTTTCTAATACGTCTATGCCTATCTTATCAACTGCAAATAAATTGTAATTTTATTTTTAAAAAATTTTTTAACTTTAATCCCACGACCACAACAATCTGCACAACCTTCTGCTGATAAATTTATGATTTAGAAATGTTTCTGAATGATTATTTAATTCATAATATTTTTATTTATATTCACTAATTAATACATTTGTATTATGTTATCCTTCAAAGTGCAGTAAAAGTAAAATCCAGAGCAGTATTTAACTTTTTACATTAATTAACATTTTTCAAGCTATCATTGGTTTATTATTATTACAAATAATTGGTTTATATTAAATGTTATGTAATGCCATTCAATACTAATTTAGTAACAATATATTGTCATTAAGAGCTTACCTATCGTGCCTATAGGAGATATAGAAACCAGCACCCTGGACCGATTAGCAATCGGCCATTTTTGCGATGGGTCCGGTTAGGAGGGAATGATGGTGAATCATTCAGCTAGGCCTATCATCCTCCTAATAGGGTTGCTGAGAGCTAGCATTGACAGGTGTAATAGTTTGCAAGGGAAATATTCTGTATGTTTTCAATGTGATTAAAATTTGTCGTGTAAAAAGTATAAAAGTTGTAACTATAAATAGTTATTGACTTTTAAATGCGTTTAGGATTTTTTTAGGATTTCATAGTCCATATTAAATGTTTTAAATTTATGTGTAATGTTTTATTGAGTTGATTAATATAAAATATCTTTTGCATACTTAATTACTATTCTTTTTTTTGTTTAGTTTGTTTACTGTTTGTTTGAGTTAAGTAATATTATTTGATTTCAAACCAGTTTAATTATTTGATTTTAAAACAGTTTAACTTGTTTACAGTTTCTAAATATAATATTTATGTAACCAATACTTGTTTGTAGAAGATATGTATGAGATTATTTAAGTCTATATTATTTAATACTTTTTTTACATGTTGTATTATTATGTTATTAATTGTTAACAAATTATTGTATATTATTTTTTTAATTTTCAAAAAATTTAATTAAAACTATGGTATATTAACTCTTTATATATATATTTTTAAAGGATTTATGGGTCCAAAAAAAAGTGGAGTTATGTTTTCGGATGCACTGAAAAAAGTGTAATGTGGTAAGATTTATAAAGTTGTCTCTCTTTTTAATTAAATGCAATTTAAAAAAAATTTTGAATTTCTATAGACATTTTTTTAAAGTTTGAATAAGTAGGGGGCGGGGCAAGGGGGGGGGACGGGGCGTTAGTCGTGACACACGCCCCTCCCCTAACTAATTTAGTAAAATAATCTTGTATACTAATTTCTTTTTTTCAATAAACTCAATTTAAAACCTTTTATCAAATCTTTTTTAAACTTTTTTTTTAGGTTGGAGAAGACTGGGGGGTTGGGGAGAGGGCGTTGTGCGGTGCACACATCCCAGCCATAAAGTCAATATATACAACACTTTTAAATGCTGTAAAGTAAGAAAATAAAATTTAAATTTTTTAACACATATAATAATCAGTGTTTTTTGGGTTAAAGTATTTATAAGAATGGAACATTTCACTACGAGGGTGTTAAAACGTAACAAAGACATCGACCCTTTATTCTAAAATAGACCACTAATATTTGGAAATGGAATGGAAGCAAATTAGAACTTATTCTATTTTAAAAAGATCTTATTCTATTTTAAAAAATATATATAATATTATACTATTTAGTATAACTATTATATATTGTAAAAAGTAAATAGTAAGTATATAGTATAAAATGTGTGTACAGTATAAAATATCTGTTATAAGTATTTTTTGTAGTATTTATTATAAACAAATGTATCATTCATTGCAAAATATAAAGCATTTATATATATATATATATATATATATATATATATATATATATATATATATATATATATATATATATATATATATATATATATTTTGTGTATATATATATATAAATATTTTTTTTTTGTGTATATATATATATATATATATATATATATATATATATATATAAATATATTTTGTGTATATATATATATATATATATATTTTTTTTTTGTGTATATATATATATATATATATATATATATATATTTTGTTTATATATATATATATATATTTTGTGTATATATATATATATATATTTTTTTTTTTTTTGTGTATATATATATATATATATATATATATATATATATATATATATATATATAAATATATTTTGTGTATATATATATATATATATATTTTGTTTATATATATATATATATATATATTTTGTGTATATATATATATATATATATATATATATATATATATATATATATATATATATATATATATATATATATATATATATATATATATATATATATGTATATACATATTGCATATATATATATATATATATTTATTTATATATATACCAATATAAAAAAAACTAAGAATGTATTATTACTTATATATATATATATATATATATATATATATATATATATATATATATATATATATTTTGTGTATATATATATATAAATATTTTTTTTTTGTTTATATATATATATATATATATATATATATATATATATATATATATATATATATATATATATAAATATATTTTGTGTATATATATATATATATATATTTTTTGTTTATATATATATATATATATATATTTTTTGTTTATATATATATATATATATATTTTGTGTATATATATATATATATATATATATATTTTTTTTTGTATATATATATATATATATAATATATATATATATATAAATATATTTTGTGTATATATATATATATATATATATTTTGTTTATATATATATATATATATATATTTTGTGTATATATATATATATATATATATATTTTTTTTTTGTATATATATATATATATATATATATATATATATATATATATATATATATATATATATAATATATATATATATATATATATATATATATATGTATATACATATTGCATATATATATATATATATTTATTTATATATATACCAATATAAAAAAAACTAAGAATGTATTATTACTTATGGTAAATTTTAATAACATTATTTTTCATGTTAAAATGTATAGATGGTACGTAATTATAAACCAAAGCGACAAATAAACTATAATGCAGAAATTTTTCAGTCTGCTCTGCAAACCATTATAGATGGAGAAACTATATCAACTGCAGCAAAACAATTTAATATTCCACGTAAAACGTTGATTGATAAATTACGGGGAAAACATCAAACACATTCTATAGGTGGTAAAACAATTTTCTTTAAAAATCAAGAAGAAACTCTTGTTCAAAGGCTGCTTTATATGGCTGATAGAGGGTTTCCTCTCACAATAATGTGGTTAAGATCTGCTGCTTATTTCTATGCCAAAAGCTTGTGTAGACGTCATTTATTACAGAAGTTCATTCCAAAAAGTTGGCATAATAAACGTTTGGCATCACGTTATTGGTTTCTCTCATTCCAAAAAAGATATACTCAGTTGACACTAAGAATTCCTGAAGGGCATTCTCGAGCAAGAGCAGAAGCATTTAATGAGAATCGCGTTCAGACATTTTTTAACAATTTACAACTTTTTTATGAACAGCTTAACATAAAAAATTATCCAAATTTGATTTATAACTGTGATGAAACTGGCCTTTCATCTGTGCCAAATGTCTCTGTTAAGGTAGTAGCATTAAAGGGTTCTCATGAGGTACAAAAGTTAACTATTGGTGAACGTGGCACACTAACAACATACCTGGCCACTGTTAATGCAGCAGGAGACAGCTTACCACCATTTTTCTTATTTAAGGGAACAAAGATTCCAGATGCATCTAAATTTCCTTTGGGTACAAAAGTGCATTGTAGTCAAAGTGGATATATTGATCAAGAGATTTTTATTGCTTATTTACATCAATTTAATGAGTTTTGTACAAAAGTGAATGGGAAAAAAGTATTGTTATTTTTGGATGGCCACAAAAGTCATGTGATTATTGAAACGATGGAATTAGCAATAAAGATGGATATTGAAACAATATGCATTCCACCTCATAGTACACATCGCCTTCAACCACTTGACACACATGTTAATAAAGTAGTTAAACATATGTGGTCTGAAGCCTTGTCTAATTACTTAGCTGAAAATGATGATATTTCTTTGCCTCGTTGCAACTTTCACATTATTTTTAACAAAATATGGCCAAATATACTTACAAAAAGAGGATTGATTGTTGATGCGTTTTACCATTGAGGTTTGCATCCCCTAAGAAACCCAGTAAAAGATTTCGAATATAAAAAAGCAGAGGTTTTTAAAAAAGCAACAATTCAACAGGGACACCAAAATTTATCTATTTTAAGGACTATTATACCTATCACGATAAATTAGTTAAAACTAAATCAAAAAAGACTTTTTTTCAGCTGATTCTGATCACCCAAGTTCTTCAAGTTTTATTCTAAAAAATAACACTGATAAAGACTTTTGTTGTGTTTGTGCAGCTGTTTGGGCAGAAGCAAGTGAAGATTGGCTTATATGTTTAAATTGCAATCAGTGGGCATGCGAAGGATGTTTTGGAGTTGATACATGTGCAAATTGTGTGCAATGAACATATAAACGTCTTGTAAATTTTTAAATAGTCATAGTAGTGATATGATTTTTTGTTGCTTTAACGTGCTATTTTTTGCGCTAGCGCGGTTATACGGTTTTCATTTATGCCAAAATCATTATTTGATATTTTCTTGGAAAAAGTTTAACAATTGATGTCATTTTAGATGTCCTTTTTGATGTCCTTTTACCCTAGGCCACCGCAGTCGAGGAGGCTACTTTAGTTGTGTTTACAACCCTCTCTCAACTCTTTAACTCCGAAACACGAACCTTGACGATCAAGGTTCGTGTTTCGGAGTTATAGAGTTGAGAGAAAAACAAATTGAGCGCAGTACTACCAGAGACGCGGTGGGAATCGAACTCGCAACTTCTAGGTTTACTTCTAGATTAGGGAAATCATCCTACTGTGACCTCAAAAACGTTTTATGTCAAAGTTTTTTTCTCCTAGGTAAGTTGCCTTTACCACTAGAAAGGAATTTCGTCTATCGCCCGAGTCACGAATTTTTAAATTAGTTTAGCTGTACTGACGAATTCGCCCCGTAATTGACGAATTCGCCCCTCATGACTTGATGATAAAAAAATCAAATTATACGCTAAAGTAACTTTAGAATTCATTTTCATTCAATGCATTAACAAAATAGAGACCCTAATTAATAAAAAAAAGTTTTTAAACTAGAAAAGTTCACTTATTTATATGCGAATTCATTTTGTTAAAGTAAAACATGACGAACTCGCCCCGCCTTACCCTACTAGTGCTGTCGTGATATGCATTTTTTCAGTTACTTATTTTATTTCAGAATTTATCGCATGGTATTTTTTCTCTGTAGTTTAAAGTAATAACTTTTACTATGAATTCATGTCAATGATGTATTTTCTTAATGAAAAAAAGACTATTTTCACAGCTAAAAATCTATTAGAAACTATATTAGGTGAGCAAGACTAAAAATTTCACAGAAGTGAAGTAGAAGTAGTTTAAATTAAATTAAATTGAGTTAGTATATAAAAAAAAAGATAGCTAAACGCCTTCTCTTAACATTTTAAATTAGGCATTTCCGCTATTTACTCTTACAAAGTACTTTAAAACTTTTTATTAAAGTATATAAAATCACCCAGTGGGCACACGTGCATTTTATAAACGATAAGTAAACGTTTAACGGTTGCTTAAACAACGATTATATTAGCAAAAAGTCTAAAAAAAGTTCACAAATTGTTTTAACAGATATTTTTATCATTTAATTTAACCCATTTGCAACTGCAGGCTTTCTCAGAAGACGCGTGCGGTCGCACGCCTTAAATGACTACGCATATATCTTTTTGTTGTTAATAACTAGAGCAGCCGAGGCGCAGTTGGCTCAGAACCCAGAGGTCCGGGGTTTGACGCCAGCTCTAGCCCAACAAGCGACATTGGTACGGAAGGAGGCATGAACTTCCTGTTAAATGCTCTCCCGCGGTGCACTATGATAAGACCGTAAGGACTTCTGGGAGCACCTAAATACATACAATATAAAAAAAAATAACTTGGCCACAATTTTTTTTGCTTTAATAAGAAATGACGCATTTTAAAAAACGCGCAGAAAAAATCAAATTAATTTCTTATATTATTTTCTTTTTCTAGTTATTACTTTACGGTTTTAAGAGCTCGTAACGGAAGTTCGTTTTGATGTAATGCGTATCCAATATGATGTTTCTTTTTAAAAACTCTTCTAGTTTTACCAATAAGCCACTTATTGGTCCAGTATTGATAGCAGTATTATCAGGAAGAACAGCTTGTATACTTTCCAAATTGTTAAGTTCTTATGAAACACTGAACGTTTCGGTAGCAAGAACGAAACCTGTAGCACCGGTGACAGGAATCGTCCTATGAGTCAAATAAATTTCCACTCGATTTTCCATATTCATAAGTGATATATATATATATATATATATATATATATATATATATATATATATATATATATATATATATATATATATATATATATATATATATATTTATATATATATATATATATATATATATATATATATATATATATATATATATATATATATATATATATATATATATACATATATATATATATATATATATATATATATATATATATATATATATATATATATATATATATATATATATATATGTATACATGTATATATAATTATATGTATAAAGTACTCTGTATAAATGTTATGATTATGTTTTGGTGAAAAAATATACTTATTTCGCTTTCAGAAAAATATTACTTCAAGGTGCAGATAAAAATAACATAACAAAATTTTTTTTTTTTTTTGTACCTACATCTTTAGCTAAAAATACTGCGCGCTGAGTCGTAAAACCCTAAAAATTAAGCGAAGCGAAATAGTTAAATTACTTTTACGTAAAAAAAAGTTTTTAAGACCAATGTTAAAAACGATAAAAAGCTTTTAGAAAAATCTCCCGCCACTGCCTTATATGGACGTTTAAAAAACCAATAAAAAACGTTGTCGTAAGGCTCCAACAACATCTCTAAAACTATTTTAGAAATTGTCGGTCACCATTCATCCTGACGTTCAAAAAAGTAATAAAAAACGCTTTTAAATTTATTTATTAATTAATCATGTTATTTATTATTTATTTACGACCATTAAATAATGTTCACAAAATGTTCTGTGCCCATTTGATAGCATCGTAGAAAAGTAGGTATAATTGTTAAAATATCTAAAAACTAAAAAATCTTTAAAATTCAGTTTTTTACTTTTTATGAATATTAAAAAAATAAAAATAAAAATACTAAAAAATTAAATATGTTTTATAACATATAGCATATATTCGCAATATTTATTGTATATATAATTATTTTTAAAATTTCCTATTCAACTTTTACTTGATAATAAAGTCATTTTCATACATTAATAACATTATTATTTACTGCAACAGTTTAAAAGCGTTGTGTTTTATAACAGTTAACAGACAATAAAGATTTATTGCAATACTACGGCTCGCTAATAGTGAAACATGGTCGTAAAAATGTTTCTGGTAGCCAGGTTTTGTTACTTAAATATTTATAACTTACTTTAAATTAAATGTTTTATATTCAAATTTACACATCACAAATTTAATTTATACATCTTTCTAACAAGATATAATAATCAAATATTTATATAGTTAAACGTTTTTACATATGTATGTACAAGTTTTGCAATTTAAGAAAGAAGTTCGGATTCATAGTTATTTTAAAAACACAATTATAAGAAAAATATATATAAAAAGAAAAGAGTGGCAGATGGAGAAAAATTGAAAATAATTGGGCTTAAGGATGAAACATTAGCAACCTTTGAAAAGATTTTCACTTTCACTTTTAAAAGACAGAACTACACATATAACAGCCTCAAAACAAGAAAAAATCTGTGAAAGATTGTAACTTTATTTACATTATTAAGTTTTTGTTTAGCACCAATACGTAAGTATAAATATATCTTACCTCGAGAAATAATAATTGTATTAAGATGAAACCAACTTAAAGATTTTAACTTACTGCTTTCACCAGTAAAGTCTAGCCGTTTCAAATTCTAAAAAATAGCTTTTATAACAAACTTAATTTTAAATTTGCTCGCGCTGTTTTGTTTACTTTTTTTGCTCTTTCGTCTACGTTTTTTTAAGCGGATCAAAATTGAGTCTACAAAATTAATTCAAGATTTTCTATTAAAATAATAAAGAGGTGGAGAGTTAAAGAGTTTGTTACACAATACCCTAGGTTTTGTTAGACACAAACTTGATATTCAAAAAATGTTGTATTTGCAGGAGGCATTGCATTTGCGCAATTAAATTGACTGATTCGAGGCAAAATTTTTTTGCAAAAATTAAAAAAAGGAAATGTTTGAAACATTTAAAAATAATTACTTTATGTACTATGCCTCTAAAGTGTTGCGTCATTTTACGCTAATATATAACAAAGAGTGATATACTACAGCGTAAACACTTTTATTATAACCAATGCAATTTAAAAAAATATTATCTTTTTATCAGGATAATATCTTTTTAAATTGAAATGATTTTAAATTCATCGTTAACGTTAATCTTTGTCATTTGGTAAACAATAAGCGGATACGTCGTTCTTTTAAAGTAAAAATAAAAAAAACAAAAAGCAACCAGTTATATTAATCTTTAAGTGAATACATACAGTGATAAATATTACAGTATGTATATTACTAAAAGTAGGGTAAAAATACTGCTACTTTTATTTGTTTTTGTTTTCCGTATACATATACATATGCATGCCTTAGGTATTGTGTTGTTAGTCCAGATTTATTATTTTAGAAGCATTCTAACTATTATTTTTCAAAGATCTGTAAAATTTAACAAGATTTAAATTTTATTTTGCTCATTAATTTTATTCTGCAAAAGCGACCCCATAGATTAAATGAAATCAATATTATTCCCGTGATTACATTTTTGTTTTATGATTTATACAATAATTGAAATGAGATTAGATTTTAAAAAGCTTAAAATTAAAACATACTATTTTACCATGGTAAAACCATGATAAAACCATGAAATTTCCATGAGTATTTGGAATGCGACTCAATGAAAAACTTATGGTTTTTCCATGGAAAACTTATGATTTTTAATAAAAAAACCCATAGGTTGTTTATGTAAATACCATAACTTTTCCATGTAAATACCATGGTTTTTCCATAGAAACTTGTTCCAAATGCGCATGGAAATTCAATGGTGTTTTCCAGATGTTTTTTTTTAGGTTTTCAACGAAAAGTTTCCTTACAGGTACTAACCACTGGCCTGAAAATATTAATTGGTAATGAAAAATGCTATTGCGCCTTTAACAATGTTTCGTAACATTGATTGAAATCAAACTTCAGCAGAAAAATATTACGCACAACAATACAAACAAGTTTATCAGAAAATGTATTCAAGAACAAGTTTATTATTAAAAATATTCAAGAGGATGAAATTTATAGCTTTAATAATGCTAATAATTTAGAATTCAGTGACATTGTAATGATAATTAAAACTGAATATCAGCTCTAAGTAACAAATGCAATGATGATTACTATTAATTTTGATTATTTTACAGTCAAAAGGTTTTGTTCAAAGAACTGTAGTGCTACGGTAAGAAACAATTAAATTATCTAACTTTTTAGTTTTAACGATAATATATTGGATACAGACCATTGTTTTCATGTCACAAAGTAGAATGGAATAAAATTGCCTACTACGGGTTCTATCACAAAATGTAATAAAGCGGCAATCAGAATAAATAAATAGTTTGATTTTATATAATTGGGACGAAAGTTAATACAAATACCTCATTTTGATTTTTTTTTCCTGAAAAAAATTGTACTTTTAAACATTCTAGTTGTTCCATTTAATTACGCGATTAAATGCTTGTTGTAAAGGTATAGATTTCAAGACCTGTTGTAAAAGTATGAATTACAAGACATGTTGTAAAGGTTAAATAGCTTTTATCAAAATCAACTATATATACATTAAATAAACTTGCATAAAAGTATTTTAAAAATCTATACAAACTGGTTTTGTCCAAAAAAATTTTAGGTGATTACGGTCCCAATTAACAGACAATCAAGACTAAGGCTTTGTTTTACATAAAGGTTTTGTTTTATAAAGAAACAATGCTTTAGTTATAATTAGGACGGTGTCTTTTAACTAAGCAAAATTAGATTTCTAAAGAAATGATTCTTTACTTAAGCTCAAATGGTTAGTATTTTTAGTTTAACTGAATTATTTCATTCAGTATTTGGGCCTTAAATAAATTTGGGCTTTTGTATTATCACACTGTTTCCTTATGATACCTTTCGTTTGTTATAAATAAAACATAGAAGGAAATGTTTTCAGCTACTTTCTACATTATTGAAATAATGAAATGTTGACAAATAGTTTAGCATCGACTGCAGTGACTAGAGATAATTAGAGAAGCATCAACAGCTGTGAAAAAAAAAACACCAAATTTTGGGATAGAGTTTGTATTCCTATGGGTTATAAGAACAAGATCATTAAAAAAGTTACCAGAAGTATGATCTTCTCAAAAAAATAATCAATATAGACAAGCATAACTCAAAATTTTGAAAGAAAAAGTATTCACAGAAAATCAGAAAAATCTTGTTGATGTTGAAAGCGAATATTAGAAATGAAAAAGATTGTAATTTTCTCTTTGCGTAAAAAAATCCTGGAAAAAAAAAGTTATTGGATCAATTGATAAGGCTTTTGCAGTGAAAGAAATACGCCTTGAGCGAAGAAATTCTTTGAAGAAAAACGCATCATAAAAATAAAGAAGAGGCATTCACAATCTTTGGTATAGTTCTGTCAGCATTATCTGGCAGTAGTTGTTATAATTGAAAAATATGTTAGGAGGATTCTATATTTCAAAATCTAGAGTACACAAGAAATGCATGAAGAAACATTGTCACTGCAGCACTTATAACTGCTTCAGATATGTCTACGATTAAAAAAAAAAATGCAGCGTTTATGCTGACAGAAACAACTAGAGAATTGGACAAGATGTAAAAAGAACTGAATGTTAATAGGGCATTAGTTTATATAAAGCGCTGAAAACACACAGCCGTTATTGATGAAAATTTTAAACCTAAGTTCAAAACAGATGTTTCGTTGGTTGTTTACTGTGATAAGAAACTGATGCAAGACTTGTCATCAAATATTTATATTGAGATAATGCTTATCATTGAATCTGGTTCAGGGGTTAAGATATTGCTTATTGTTGCAAACCTAACCAATGGAATTCCAATGTCTCAAGCAAATGCTGTTGTTACTGCTTAGAGGAACTTGACAAATAAATGACTAATAAATTTAGCGATTTAAATATTTTTTTCGTTTAAAGTGTTCTATTATCATTTTCATCTCCTGGACTAAAACCTGTTTAACTTAAAATTATAATGCAGCCTGGTGCTTTAGTATCATTTAAATATAAAGAAAATTTTTATAAATTTTTATTATTAAAAAGTTGTAAAAGACTATTAAATATTAATTATGATATTTTTTATTAATAAAAATTTCCCCAAAAATACTCAATGTTGGCTTAATACAGTTGACAATATTGATGTAATTTTGAAACTATTTTACGCCAATATCGGCCAGAATTATATCCACAATATTGGTGCAGTATTGTAAACCTTATAACACCAAAAATGCAATGTGAATGTTTTTTTCAATGTTGGTCAATATTAAGTTAACAATATTGCTGCATTATTGTACCGCCACTATTGACTAAATAATATTGTACCAATATTGTAGCGCAAACATTGGCCAATATTGGCGAAATGTTCACATTGCAATATTGGCGCGATATGTATAATATAGTTATATTACATAGTTGTATTATATTTCTAAAAACTGCGCAAATATTTTTTTATTGTTTATTAAGTTTTGCGTGTTTAATTCCATTTAATATTTTATATACAGTCCAGTCAGTTGCAACAATAATTAAAGCAGCAGGAAACGGCCAAGTACACATGCAAGTGGTAAATTGACTTTTTTTGACATTTTAAATTTATTTGTCATTGCTTTGGATAAGATATATATATATATATATATATATATATATATATATATATATATATATATATATATATATAATATTATTTGCTTTAACAAGCGATTTATTCAATTTTAAGTGCAATTTTTCCATAATTAACCATTTCTACTGTAATTGCATTAAACTAGTTATATGAACTCCAAAGAAATTGAAATAAAAAAACAAATTTAGATTAGAGTAACGCACAATTATGGATTAATTATATGTTATTATTTTCAGTTTATATAATATTTGTTTCTATATAAACATTAAAAATTAAAATGAAACCTCTAAATGATTTGTATTATCAGTACTTTTGCTTCTTTTATTATCTGCTGATTATCAATGCCTTCGTTAGTTTCTGTTATTTAAAACTTTTGCAATCCTCATAACAATCTGTAAAAGGAATAACAAAATATCTTATCCAAAGCAATGACAAATAAATTTAAAATGTCACAAAAAGTCAATTTACCACTTGCATGTGTACTTGGCCGTTTCCTGCTGCTTTAATTATTGTTGCAACTGACTGGACTGTATATAAAATATTAAATGGAATTAAACACGCAAAACTTAATAAACAATAAAAAAAATATTTGCGCAGTTTTTAGAAATATAATACAACTATGTAATATAACTATATTATTGTTCGAACCATGTTAACTTTTCTACTAAAGAGAAAATAAATGATACAGTATAATAATCTATAATATCAGTGGTAAGTAAATTTATTTTCTCTTTAGTGGTTATCATATATATGAATAATACTTAAACTTTTAAAAAAGATTTTTTAGTTTACACTAAAAGCCTACACTAAAACTGAAGATCCATTATAAAATATTTGAACCTCATAATTTTTGATTGGCAATGACTGCACTAAAAGTATAAATATTATAACATTGCTATTCGATCAATATAACATATATCATAAACAAATAGATGTTAGGTCTTAATATAAACAAACTAGGGTTGAAAATTTCCGGAAGTTTTTTGGAAATTTTCCGGGAAAATTTGCTTAAAATTTCCGGAAATTTTGAATTTTTCTTTTTTTTAATTTTTAATTTACTA